CAGGAACAAAACTAAGGTTACTACCTCCGTCACCTCTTTCTTAAATTAAAGACACTTCTCCTGCAGCACAATTCTGTAACATTTAGCACTAACATGGCAGATGACAGAACTTTTAAAGCCAGAGAGGTAACAACATTCTGGACAGAAGTACAGCTTTAACTATAGATTTGAATAGTACAGTACATGTGTTCCAAAATACTTCAAGGTACACACCTTCTGTATTCATTTTACAGAAATGAGACACAAAATTGCCCCTTGAACTCTTAAAGTCCACATTACAAAGAACATAAGAAAAGCTTCTTTAAGACTTTTACAAAAAAGCCTCTATATTCAGTCTTGGGAAAGCTTTGTTAATGCCATTTTTATATTCCAGTGTATAGTAAACTGCTGTTAGGAAGAAATTTGCATTTCACCCTTACCTGCGTATTCATAGAACCATTCTAAGCACCTCTTACTTGAAAAGACTTCTTCCTCTGCTTTTATTCTAGTTGAATCATATTTTCTATACATACTTAAAAAAAGAAAGAGAAACAAGTAATTAATCAATCAATTTTCTATAAGCAATCTTTTAATCAACAGCCACGGTAAGCAGCAGCATTTTTCCTTTCATGAACCAGTTTACTCAACATGCTGTCCTAATATCCAGTCCTTTGGGATACTGCTTAACAGCGTAAGAATCACTGAACCTAAATACTATGTTTGCTCAGTCTGTCATACTTCAGCTAATTCCTCATAGTTACCCATGTGCATGAACTTTCCTTACAATAAATACAAGTTCAAAATCAAGCCCAAACTGCTTTGTGTAAGTTCAAGTTAAGACTTGTGAACACCATTAGTCACCACAATCAACTGATGGGCTGCAACTTGGATGTGGGTCTAGACCCAGAGTAATTCCCTGTCACAGCCAACACATGTCCTACCTGCAAGGTGCACACATACTTCATGCACTTTAAATTATCAACTAAGGAAACCTACATATACTCTTTTTGCCTCCTCAAAAAGTCCTATAAAATGCATAAAGGCCAAAACAGACATGACCTACACTTACACTATTCTAAAGCCAGGAAGTTGGTAATGCAAAAGAACCACAGAGAACAGGTTACAGGCCCTCACTGACAGTAATTCAAGGAACCCAGTTCATCATGGGGTAAATAGTTATCTGAAAAACTACATCAACAGCGCCCCTTCCACCAGAGATGACTGGCAAGATACTGCTCTCCTTTGACAAGGAGTATAAGGAATTTTAACTACATTCAGGAAACAACACTGAAGTCTCAGTCTCCTGAATTTAGCATCTGAAACACCTAAAGCACGGAAGGCATCACAGAAGTTGATGAGTTACTCCATCCTGTTTAGACTTTCCCGAAACAGAGCCTACACCATCTGTGCCAGCCCGTTAGAGGAAAGAGACTCAGCAGCCCAAGAAGTTGTTCACTGCTGCATATGCCCTCTCTGAGACCTTTCCCCACTCTGCAGTAGAGAAGGTGGCCAAGACGGCTCTGTAAGCTTCCTCTTGCAGCGTCAAACCCTGCTGAGGAGGACAATGAAGTGACTAACTGGTTCAAGAAGAATGCTGAAACAACTTGATGCAAATTATTTGGAGTTGATTTCATCAACGTTCTGTCCTTCTAGAAAGACGTGTAAAAGTTGTCCATACTCAGGAGCTCGGAGTACACTGATCTCGCTATCCTCCACCTAGCTCAGCTATCAGCTATGAGGAATTGTGGCTAGAAGTTAACAGCACACAGATCATTCTGACAGTAATTCAAAGAAATAATTCATGTTTATTTTCATAGTTCCTTTAAAGCAATTAACTATTAGAAAAGTAATACTAGTCAGAGCAAAATGATAAATTGCTAATTGGAAAATAAAAGCAAATAGGGCTCTTCAGAAATTTCAAAATGGAAAAGTTAACACTGTACCAAAACACCTGCAAACTGAAAAACTGCAGAAAAATGCCAGCCATACACGTCTCAGAAACATATATATTCATATACCTACAATTTGTACTTTTTTTTTAATTTTCACTTTTTAAATACTTTTTCCTATTTCAAGTATCTACTTTGTATAAGTTTTACTGCGGTTGCAGAGGAAAAGGCTGACAGCACTGCCCAGTAAGCAAACAACTACACCAGAAGCTACAGGTCAGAGTTGGAACAATTGTTAAAAAAAAAAAAAAACACCAACCAAAACACTAGGTCTGATCATTTAACATTCTCATACTTGCAGACTGAACTGTAATTACAAAAGACCTATCCAATATTTTTTTACACTATTCTGAATTCAGAGGAATCAAAAAAAGTCTTGGGACAAAGAAAGGAGGCATTCTGCCACTTTGGCAAAAGTCTAATTATTCAGTATCCCCTTCTCTGTAGCAAGTAAGTGTGAAAAACACCAAGGGGAATTCAAAGTTGAAAATTGATTGTAACAGGAGGCAGTCAATACCTCTATTTTATTCACTGAAGAAGTCTGCAAGAGGACTGCTAGGACCTAGGGACATGGCAAAGCTAACGTGGTTCCCAAAGATGGACACTGTTTTTTCTTACAAAGGTATGATAACCAAGCACCTCACGCCCTTCTTGTTCACATGTGTGAATAGTGGATTTGGGAAGGAACATTGAAAAAAACAAATTTATTGACAAGGGCTCTAGGTCACTCAGATGTTTTAGAAAAAGGATTCCTCTATCGACAAGTGGCAGAGGTAAGTGTCTGAACCAAGACACCAATGATAAGAGCATGTGTAAGAGGAATGGTGAATAAGAACAGAAAAAAAGAGCCTTTTTTATAATTCACTGCATCTATACATAGCAAGTTTGCATAGGACTGATACAGGACTGAAAGTCATTTGCTGTGCTTAAGGCTGAAGTAATTATGTAGGAACAGCAACATTCGTAAGCCCACATGCCCAACATACAGCCAAGTAACTAGAAGCAAGACACCCTGGCCTCAAACTTATCATTGTTCAAAAAGCTCAGTATCTGACCACTGGACTTTGATTTTTGAGAAACCAGAACTGATTACAGATCCTCCAACCTGTGCCAGCAAGAGAAATTACTTCACAAATTCAGAAAATGAAATCAGAAAGGACAATCTTGAGCTACCCCAGTCCCTGCTACAAGCTAACTAACTAGTCAGACATTCACTAAAAGTGCGGGTGACACAGCATTGCATCTGTAATGAAAACAGACTACGCACAGGCAGAAGTATAAAACCATGCAACAAAAATGGCAGGATGAATCTCAGCTGCCTTTCTCTCAACCTAAAGGAACTAATTACAGATCACATATCATGCAAGACAAGAATCACTTGAAAAGGAATATGACAGAAACAAGTAACAGCAATGCAGACTCGGTATTAGTGACCTCTCGCATATAAAGATGAAGCCTGCTCTCTCCCTGCTTATTCCAAACACCAAATTAGTTTCTTCCCCCAGTCTAGCCAAATCAGCTAGTTCTATTAGCAAGAGACTCCTAATCCTGAAGTGCTCGGTGAGGCAAGATGAGCAGGTAGGTACAAGCAGTAAGCAGACAAGAATCAGAGATTACAGCCTAGGACAACTCTGTTCAATTACCACAGCAAGCCCAACCTGGCAGCACAGGGTAAAGGTGATGCCAGTGGCTGTCTCCTCTGAACTACCATTAATAAAGATGTGATTGTCTCAAGAATTGTACGTGTAGAGGATGAAAACACAAACTGCCAGAGACATCTGGCATCCATTTTGTATCTTAAAATGATTCTCATATTTTTGGAATTTCTCTGTACATGCTGCAAGATGATGTGCTTTGTCCTTGGGCTAAGGACAGTGTTTCTTGCTACATAGGCAAATGCAAACTGCCAGAGCACACAGGGTCAGTATCTGAATACTTTGGGAGAAGCAAAAACCTCACAGACACCTTCCATAGAGGACGGTATACTTTTGGTACCAGAATTTGTACCACTGTCAGAAGGCTGACACTGGAACAGGATTGCTGAAGTGTGTTTTCACCATCACCAGAGCTAGAAAGGTGCATGCAGAACTTTTTCCCCCAGTGTCTGCTATGCCCATCACTATGGACAACAGCAAACTCCAAGCGTTTGTGTTTAGAATTACCCTTCCATTTCTGAGCCCTGACATGCTGTCCACCAGAAACAGCAAGGGAAAAAAACCTACCTATGAACAAAGAGTACATATTTGTCTCTCGGATGAGACGCACATGCAGGTAAAACTCAAAAATTTTTGCTTGAAAAGTAATAGTTTATTCATTTAGCGTAACACTGTCAGTGTCAGGACAGTGACAGCAGGCTTCAAAATGTTTCTTTATATTGTAACCAAAATCCCCTTAAGGTGTTTTTAGCTTTTTCTATTTTGTTATCTAATAGCCATTTTGCCAACTAGAGAGAGGAAAGAATGCGAGACACGGCAGGGAAACCGCAACATGAGATCAACCTACCTAAATTTTGTAGAAGTGATATCAATTACTCAATCACATTCAAATGAAGTTATTTTCTCAGAAATGCTTGCATCTCTTTAAGGATGTAACAGTCCTTTTTAAACTTATCTTTGAAATATTCTTATGAGCTACGGAATTGTAATATCCCTGCAGTAAAGATGAGACAACGTAGTTTATAATTGGAAGTGCTACAGGCAGATGTAAACAAACTAATTAAGAAAACTTGAGTGTCTAGGCCTTTCATGTATCTTTAAATACATGATAATTCATATATTTTCCAGGTTATTTCCATCCATTCATAACCGATTTGGTGGGAAAGCAATAGCACGAAAATTCCATCCAGCTATGATGGGGTGACCAGGTAAGTCATCCTAAGAGTATATGGTTGCTCCCAACAAAAAGAACAAGGTCACGGTAATTTTCTTCAGTGTGTTGCAGGCTTCAAAGTTGGGCGACTGCTCTGCTCTGAGCATGCTTCAGCTGTACCGGAATTAGTCAGAGCTCCACCTACCACAGAAGCAACTCTGGGCTGCATGGCTCCAGAATATTCAAACTGAGATCAGTGAAAGCATGGAGTTTAGGTCACACAAAATGTTCTCTTGATTGTGGAAGCTGGTAATAGCACATTTAAGGAAAGGAAGAAAAAAAAAAGTAAAAATAAAGAAGTGCCGTTTATTATGGTAAATAAAACGTTAACCTCTCCTGAAGGTTTTCAGCCTCCTCTTTTCCATTGGTTAGTATCTACAATGAAAACATTAAGAAATTTACCAATAGTAGCTTTGTTTCTGTGCAACCAGAACTTATTCAAAGCTTTACCTCATTTTGTTTGAGCTTTGAACTGAACAACTAATTGCTTTCAGATTATTTATATTGTGAAAGATGCAAACTTCTGATTGAAGAAGATGCCCCCTACTACTTCCATTAATTCTAATTAATTAAAGTTTTGGCTGAGAATTTTCATCAGTGCAGCACAATGAAAGCATTTTTATAAAGCATTACCTAATCATTCACAATTACAATTTCAGTAATAGTTTCACAAATACTGCAGAAGAAACAAGTGGAGGAAAAAAAGAGCTATTTTGCTATTTGCAAGGCATTACAAAGACTGTCTAAAGAAACTCTAAGGACAAATTACTTGACTGGGAAGTTTTATGAACGAATATATCTTATATCTTCCTATTGGAAGGCTTAACAATCATCTCTAGACTTATAC